TTCCCCGGGGAAGTTTTGTCCTAGGATATTCTTTCCCCGGGGAAAGTTTGGTCTAGGCCAAAGTCTCTCTCTCTCCCCAAAGTTTCCCCTGTTTAAACTAGGATATTTTGTTCTGTTTCCTATAAAAAGGGGGGAGATTCTGGCCTAGCTAGGCTACTTTTTCCCCCACGTAAAATACACAGGTTGCTTGCTATCTCATCATTTATGTATAAATGTAATGCAACATTATTCACATAAGTTTGTTTACTAATCCATAATCACTTTTGATGAATGAAATATGATTCAGATATCCATGGGCCAAGTATAACCCTTACAGAGATGCGAACCCGTATGATCATGTTCATTACGATAAAATAACACAAAATACACGAGACAATAGCAGTGAAAAAATACAAATTTAAAAAAAAAAATACATTAAAATAGATTATAAAATAGGACGTACCATACACAATAAATTTCAACATTTTATTCAGTATCAAGCTATATGTGGATACTTACTACTGATTTAGGTGAGTACAATGTTAATAACAAGTTCTTAGAATATCTATATATTCATATCAAATATGAAAATCCTTTGGAAAAGTTAATACTAATTTTGGCCAAAAAACACTAATTTGTGCATCAGTTTTTGTCCAAAATACTAATTTGGCTAAGTTAGGGTTGGCATCTCTGCCCTTGTCAAACATGTCTTTTGAATTTGGAATAAGGAACTATAGTGGAATGACAGATGATACAGCATTTGATCCACAGAGGTGGATGCCATATATAAAGCCATGAGTGAGGGAATAACATTTTGAATGGATATGGACATCCCAGTAAAAACTGGGTATTTAGTTACCAGTAGTTGTTTATAATTTAGTACTCATATCACAGAGATACATATTGATACAAAACTTTTTTCTTTAATTTCCTGTTAAGCTAAAGGGTCTACTACATACATAACAATCAGGTTGATGTATGTTGTTTGGTATTGAATTGAAAGAAATCATCCATTTTCCTCTCTCTTATTCCTTAAATATGTTTCTGGATTTAGTTTCCCATTAATACAGTTTTGGTATCTCCAGTGGCAGAGAAGTATCCTTTAAAGTTGATTCAAGGGTGGGGAAAGTTTGGCCTAGGACAAACTTTCCCCGTGGAAGATTAAGCCTAGGTGGGGGGCAAAGTTTGGCCTAGGACAAAGTTTCCCGAGGGAAAGTTTGGCCTGTTACACCGGTCCTTCTTAAATACTAAATAGACAGTGCCAGTGGACACGTTATCTGAATATTTCTTTTTCACCCGTCCATCGGGCTGGCTAGCTGTAAAATTAGAACGTCCAGCAGAAATCTAGCATGTCTCGGGCGGTCGGACGGGCCTTATTTCATACACTGAATATACGTTGACCTTGGATTATACCTAGAGGTGGAAGGATACTGGTGGTCAGCATGGATACTTGTGGAGCCAAAATTCAGAGTTTGATTCCCATATGACTAGCGGTATGTCAGGCTGTTTGTCTCTCCCAGTGAGATACAGCTGGAGTATTGTGATATTTCTCACTCCCTTGGATATTTCCCTGGGGAGTGGATGACCCAAAGATGTAAGGATTTGAAACTTGCTGAGTTGCATCCCTTGGTGAACACAGGATCTGTTGCTAATGTCCTCGATGTATGTTTCACTAAAGTTGTCAACATGATAAATGTCTCTTTGGGTGTCACTCCTACCTGGATTAATGTGTAATGATATGACTGAAGGTAAAATAAACTTTTATAGAGAAAAGGTTCAAATGATGCTGCAGTTTAACATACTTCATATATATCCATAAGCACAGAGTACTCACTTTCGCTCATGCTCAAGCAGGCACACCCATGCATCCACAGATATATACAGAACCGTAACCTAAATTCGTGGATAGCCTTGATTCGTGGTCGCAGTAATTATCATGCTATCTCTTGAATTAAGTCTCGTATTACATCATGAAGCTGTACTTTTGATGTACACTGTGGCAATGCCATGCCTTGTTGACTAAAATGTTCCAAATCTCTGCATTACACATAAATACACTAAATCTAATTGTCCAGCACTGAGATAAATAGCCCAAGATCACTAATGCCAATAATACCAAATTTTATTTTTCAAAATGTCAAGTAAAAAAGATACCGTTAGCACCAACCTTCTCACATCTCATGGTCTGCTTTCCTAGATGTCAATACTTACTTTAATGGGCTGTCATACATAGTGATATATAGTAACCTACTACTTAAATCATGAAACAAGGTGACATCACATTTTTTGTACACATGAATGGGTGATGATTGCAAATGGCTTTGGTAAACAAACGTTTCATTCACGAGTGGAAAATTAGACATTTTCAATTTGCTGAATTGATGAATAGAATAAATAAAATAAAATATACAAAATGAAATCGTGCATTTAAAATATGATTTTCACCGCACTTTAATTATATCCACAAATCAAGGTTACGAGTGTGTATATTCAGGGTTCAAAATTAGTAATGGTGGTCGAGGGATCCTTATCATTAACTGAGGCGTACTCAAGATGTCTATAGGAGCTCACATCAAAGAAACCAGGACCTGCTCAATTTCAGAATATTGTCCTTATGTGAGTAATTGACATTCAGTGAAGACAAGTCTTCACAATGGTTCTCTTGACATAGATCCACTTCTGACAAGAGAAAAGGGACTCTTTTAGGAATGTACAAGGGAACCTTGAAACTGTGTCACCAGTAGAGAGAAGAGAAGGAGTAGGTGGGGTAGTCTAGTGGTCAAAGTATTTACTCATCATGCCGAAGTTTGATTCCCCACATGGGTACAATGTGTGAAGCCCATTTGGTGTTCCCCGCCGGTGTTGTGCCAGGAAGGCTAAAATATATTTTGTCAGATGTCCCAGGAAGGCTAAAAGGATATTTCGGATTTCCCGGGAGAGCTAATTTCCAAGGGAGTAGGGGAGTACTGCCAAAGCTAAAGATATGGTGTGGGGAAACATAATCCATGTCGGGAGTAGATAAATTTCTTTTCAAAACATTGTTATAGTAGAGTGTTTATCTTCTTTGCTTGTTTAGAACTTTAAGATGAAAGTAATTACAGTGGAATCACCATAAACAGCTGCTTTTCAAAACTCTTTACCTCGGTATTAACAGCGAGACATGTTTCAAGGTGTGAAAAAAACATCATGTCTGATGCTCACTTTGCTTTCAAAGCTGGTTACTCTACTGTGGACGCTGTATTTATACTACAAAATCTGATTTCTATGTACACCCAAGAAAAGAAGAAATTATATTGTTGCTTTGTTTTTAGCCGGTGAAGTGTGGGGTATTGTGAAATGTTCTAAATGGTCTAAATAATGGTTATAAATCATGGTTACGTAGCGTTAAAATGTTTTTTATGAACTTGGTTTTGGGCATGTTTGGGAATTTCCAGTTGTAAATGTTTGATAATCCTGTTTTCTTTGCAATTTGTCAGAGCCTCCAAGTGAGGCACGCAGTGTTCATTCAGCCATAACACTGCATTGCAAGTACCGGGAAGGCTACGCTTATTGAACCGAGAAGCATCACGATTTTAGCCTTCCCGGCCATGAACCTCACCACCATGATATTGCTGGAGTAATGCTAAAAGCGGTGGAAAACTAAATTCACTCACTCACTCAGATAGGAGAGAGCATGTGCATACATCTGATTGCCATTTCTTTCTGTGTTTAGATAAACATGCACAGTAATCTATGTAAAAAAAGGCCTATCAGGACAGGAACTATAACTGAAATGGTAAATATAAACTATCCAGCCAGTGATGTTTTATTGCAAATTTCACATTTTCACCAAACAGTGTGTTATCTCAAGTTTGTTCATCCTAAGTGATGCAATGTAGTTTTTGACTACACATGATGCTTTAAGGGGGTGTTTGTTATACTGTGGTATACTCAAGAGGGGAATGACCTGGGCCTTTAGCACACAATTGACTGACCTGAGCTCATTCAGTATAGTATATATAACCTTCAAGAAAATTGGTCAGGCTCGCTGACATGCTTGACACATCATGACATGTCATCATATCCCAACTGCATAGATCACTGGATTGTGTGATCCTGACCCGATAACTTACAGATTGGCGCCATATAGCTGAAATATTGCTGAGTGCAGTGGTAAATAAACAAACTTACCCTTTGCTTCCAGCAGTAGACCACTTTCTAGTTTGTTGCCTGTTTTAATGGCTTCCTTGTTTCAAAACAAGCATGTAATGCAGACATTCGTTTCACCAAACAAAAACCTAGTGGGTGTTGAATTCACTTTATATGAATCTCAAATGAATTTCCTACCCAATGTCTGTTAAAATCTAATTATAGACTTTGTCTGAAAATAGAATCATTTTGTTGATGTAGCTGAACTGATTGAATATTGAAACCGATCGTAAACCGGCAGACCCTTGCTGAACTACAGATCAAGACAAAAATAACTCCCATGAAATTGATTTTGTGTCTCGTTGTTGTTCGTTTTCCAAGATAATTACTTGAACCTGGGCTTATCTTCCTGTACAGCATTTCTACACTAAAGCTACATGCAGGAAAAATGTATTTCATACAGACAACTAAGATGTTTTCAAGGTGCATTTGGGTTGACAAAAATGCCAGTTTCTAGGCAAATTAACCAAGTCAATCACTTGCAGCGTGAGATATGGGTGAGAGGAAAATCTATGAAATATTGAACATGCTGTAGGGCCTGGAGTAGATATGGGAGAAAAGGGGCCACCATCATGCCAATGATTACTTGGGTTAAGCCTGAGGCTGACATCTTTACATTGGCACGTGGGATTGTGGACAAAGGGAGATTACTGTTGCTGAATGTGTGGTCATTGATTTTATGGAGACATCATGTAAGTGTGAGCAGTTCTGTTCCTGTAAGTGCTAGATTACTGCCCTTTACCTACATATCGCGGCGTGAAGCTGTGTGCTATTTTGAATTTAGATATCTATTTGATGTCAATTTTATAATCATGAGGTCTTTGTTTTTGCAGAATGTGCCACAGATTGAAATGCTTGAGATTAGCAGCTGAAAGACGATCATGCTGGTTTTATGTAGGTAAGGTTACAATATTTCCATTTTATTCATTGTGGTTTTTTACTCAAAACCTGTGTAGGTTATTGTACCTCTAGTTAGATCATTAACTATTTCATTCTAATGTATGGATGATTGTGTGTCAGAAGAAGACAGGCAATTATTTTTGTTAGCTTTATTTTGGTTTAAGGTAGAGAAGCCCTTTTGAATAAATTTCAAAATCATAAGATAACAAATAAGAATATGACAACAACTTTTTCATAAACTTTTACCTTACTTACTCTGTGATTTGAACTACAAGCTTAGGATCCTGCAACAGTTAAGGAACACAATTCTGCACATTAGTACCTCTGTGATATCTATGCTCCAGGGAATTGCAATCTTAAAAGACAGTGTATGTTGTAGAAACACAGAAACTTCAGAGAGACAATTCTAGCAATTCATATAAGCTATTGCATTAGTTTCTATCACTATTACAAATCTTGCTTAAATTGGTTTTGATTAAAGGAGAACTTGGCTCAGGCCATAAGACAGTCCAAGCAATTTTGAATCAAGTCATTGAAAACCAACTTTCTTTTTCTGAAAATAAATGTCAATCTAGGATTTTGATAGTTACCCGACTGACACAGAGAACATGTTTGAGTTGATCACATGGTATAAATTAGAACAACCAAGGTTCATGTGGAAAACAGCAAGAGATCATCCGTGTTTAAATGTCCAATGGACATTCTGATTCAGTATCATCTCAATCACAGTTTAGGGGTGTGAACATTGGATGTTGAAATCACTGGATTGAGAATATGTGGATTTTAAATATGTATGAGCTGAAACCTTTTTTATAACTTCATTGTTTTTGTTGCATTTATAAACAGTTGCACATGTATATAATTGTCTATATGAACAAAAGGTGACAAGATGACCAGAATTTAGTAAATTGGTTAAGATGTCCGTACATTTTTGTTGTGTATTTCGTAAAGAAATAAAAGCTTGTTCCTCCTGAATCATTTCCAAATTATGAACTGAAACTGCTTGTTCTGTCACCATGAGGTCACCATGTCGGTGTAGGAATACTCAAGCGAGTGATCATGAGTGAGTGAGTGAGAATGGTGTTCAGCTGCTTGTGGCATTATTCCAGCATTATCCCGGCTAAGGATACCAGAAATGGGCTACAGACATGGTTCCAGTGTTTGGCAAAAAAACAGATGTGCCTTTGGTGCGTTAACCGATAAGCTTCTTCCCTGTTCTATGTAAAGGTTCTATGGGGTGTATAAGGAGCATTACCTTTCCTCCTGGAAAGAAAATGCCCATATTTTGTATTTCCAAATGCAAACACGAAAGTTATTTCTTGTAGAAACATTGCTGCTGTCTGCCAGGTAAGCAGGTATTATGATGGGTATTAAAGATAGAAGACTATCAGACATCCTTGGAAATAGGCAGTTGCTTTACTGACTAATGAGACTTCTTGTGACATTTTGGCTCAGGCCAGGCCAGATTTGTGGTAGGAAAATATTGCAAATGACAAGCTGCTGTTGACTTCCAACAAGAACACTTGGAAAGGATTAACTTGTCTGGGATAAATTAACATGGAACCCTCACTTGGGTGTTTGAGAGGCCACCATCTAAAGCTGATAGAAAGTTACCAGGGTTTCACTGATTACAGCCAATTCACATGACTTCAGCAAGTTTATAGATTATTCACTCATTCACTGCCACAGTCTGGTGGCTCTCTTGTCTATGATAATGCTGCTGTAGATTTCAATATATTGATGTGTCTCCTCTGCTTGAAACTGATCTTGAAGAAAATGGAATATCCATGTATTAGTGAGATAATCAATATCATGTCCTGTGGTTGTATAATTGGTCTGGCAGTGTGATTGTTTTGATACAATGTTTATATTACAGATAGATGTTCTGTGCCACACACTAGCACACACACATATGCACATACACACTCAGGCATGCACACTATGCAACTAAGTAACTAACTAACTAACTAACTAACATTAACAGGGCTCCAGATAATTTTTGAACACCAGGAGTACGTACTCCTTATTTTTTCAATATAGGAGTACTCGAAAACCTTAAGCCTACATTTAGAGTACTGAATGGAATTTAATGGAGTATCAGTAATCTTGTGTTTGAACGTTTCATATATGCACCACAACATTGCTAGTCTTTTGTAAACAGGTCAATAAACAGTAAAACAATACTTTTTCAGATAAATACGTCTGTAAATGATTCTAAGACCGTACACCATTGTCGTGGTGCGTATCTGCTACGTTTTATAAATTATTTCCTACCGTATCGTGCAAATTTTTTATCCGTACATACGCCGATACGGCCCTTATCTGGAGCCCTGATTAACACATGCACTATCACACACTAACACAAAGTTGTTGGGACACACTGTCTGGATACATTTCCACTAGTGCATGCATGCATACACATACATACACACACACACACACACACACACACACACATACATACATACATACATACACACACACACACACACACACACACACACAACACCATATTCATGCTTGTGGGTTTCTCTAAAGTGGTAAACACTCAGGACATGAATTAGTTGCCTTCAGCAGTCTGTGATAACTGGAATACTGTGGAAAGAAGCATTAAAACAAACTCACTCACTCACTCACTCATGACTTTTCATTTTGACATAATGTTTTGATACCTTTCAGTGTTGATGTTCTTCCAACTAAAGTAAATATTATGGCAGTAGATTTTTCCCACACTCTCATGCTAAACACAAGTTTAATCCATTCCGATCAGTATGTCTGAAATCTGAGGATGTTTGCCTTAGGGATGCTTCTGCGTCCAAGGAACCGCTTGTCCCATACTAATGGATCTATTCATCACTAACAATACCCCAGGAGATGCTTGCTTCTAATTACAAATTTTTTTGTCTCTTGATGGAAGTTTGTAAATTATAAAGGACTGCCAGGACCAGACTAGTTTAGTGAGGTGAGGTGGGGTGAAATTGGGTTTAACGTCGTGCTTGAGAATATTTCGCTCATATGACGACGTGCATGCATGTATATGTGTATGTGCGGCTGCTTGTACTAGCCCAGACTAAAGCTGGTTTTATAGTGTTTGCCCACTGAAATACCATGCTGCAGTGAAGCATGAATGCCCCACTGAGACACATTATACTAACTCCAAGCCGACCAGTCCTTGTTGTACCCATTAATGCCGAAGCGCCAGGTAGGGACCAACAAGTACCATATTTTAACATCTTTTGGTATGACACGGTCGGGGATCGAACCCGCGACCTTCCGCTCTTAGGGCGGACGCTCTAACCACTATACCACGGAGGCGGTCGACTAGTTTAGTTTGTTTGGTAGGTTGGTTTGTTTAAAGTCGCACTCAGAATTATTCCAGCTATATGGCAGCGGTCTGTAAATAATCAAGTCTGCTCCAGACAATCCAGTAATCAACAGCATCGATCTACACAATTGGGATATGATGATGTGTGTCAACCAAGTAAGCGAGCCTTACCACCCAATCCCGTTAGTCGTCTCTTTCGACAAGCATTAGCTTAGTTGGGAGACCATTTTGACATGGTTTAAATATTGTACTGTGGCATAAAACAATATGCTGTCTTTTGTTGAAAATGAGGTACTGGGATCGAGCCCACCTGTGACCGGGTGTAAATACCTTGGCGTAAACTTTGTGTGCAGACTCTTTCAGTGTTGTCACAACCCCTAGTGTACAGTACACAACCCTGTGCACTTAAAAGAACCCACGAATCCGTTGGTATATGACCAGATGGTGGCCACATGAATATGTGCAAACACCTAGTTGCGGGTACAGCAACGTGCAGTAAACTTGGACAAATTACTGTGACTATGTGTCCCAGTCCACCCAGCTGTGATTGGGAACCTTGTAAGGTTGGGAAAGCCGCAATAACTCGGTGCGCCTTGTGGCAGCAAGAGTTGTATGCTCTCCAGGGAGTTGAGATTGATAATAAGATGAGCTGTTGAGATTGACATCCAATGATTGAGGGGAAAAATACCAGCACCTTGAGCATGCACTAGTGCGTGGATATGTGCGCTATATAAATATCCTATAATAATTAAAAAAAAAAAAAAAAAATAAAAGCTGGAATACTGTTGAGTGAGGCGTAAAACTAAACTCTCTCAGTCATATAATTATTATTGTGATGTATGATGACATAGAGCTGTGTAAAAGGGTATACTGGTGTATGATGTCTATAAAGGATATGCCAGTGAGGCATTGTGTAAAGTACCAGGTCACTGGTACAGCACTAGCATTTGTGGAAAAAAGGAGTCAACTTGGTAATCACACGTTGAGTGTTAGATGAAAGAAAGAAAACTGGAAAGCAATAGGCAATACAATTAGATATGCTGCCAGCACTGTCAACAGTAATAAATCTTGTGTTCCCCAGGGCCCACTCTTACAAAACAATCTTAGTGCTACAATTTTTGAAAATTCCTTAAGATTGAGATCTTGGGCTTCAGCAGCAACCAGGGCATCCACTTGCATGGTGCAATTGTAGGCTGAGGTCATTTAACCCGCAATCAAATGTCCAGCTGGTTCCAACCAGTTTAAACTAGCTATGATATTTGTGGTCCCTGAATATACAGTAAACTACACTTATATCAAGTCAGTGAGTATGGTTTTACGTCGCTTTTAGCAATATTCCAGCAATATCACGGTAGGGGAAACCAGAAATGGGCTTCACACATTGTACCCATGTGTGGAAATCGAACCCAGGTCTTTGGTGTGATGAGCGAATGCTTTAACCAATGTTTGAAATAAGGCCAGTCCAACTGCCCGAGACGTGCTAGATTTCTGCCGGACGGTCTAATTTTACAGCTATCCAGCCCGATGGATGGGTGAAAAAGAAATATTCAAATAACGTGTCCACTGGCACTGTCTATTTAGTATTTAAGAAGGACTGGTTAAATCTCTTCTGGGCTGGTAAGTTTTTTAAGTTACTAGCCCAGATGTCTGGCTGGGTTTTTGGCTTATATCAT